ACCGCTCTTGGGTTATAAAAATGCAAAATCATACAAAATTCTGTGAGTTCTCTGAATTTTTAGCATTCTACCTAATTGGCTTTCATAATATACAGTATTTCCACAGTGGGTATATGGGGAAATTTGATGCAGATACTGTGATCTCATGAAAAATTCTGTCATCTTCCATTTCTTAAATATTCCAATATCTTAGCCCATTAACCTTTATGTGCCTCAAAGGCAGCCTAAATGAAAAGCTAGGATTTTGTCACGTTTTGTACATACCCGAGAGAGCCTCAACTGCAAGAGACACAAAATAGTCTAAAATTTTTTACATTTATGACGACCTCTTCGACAAGTGAAATCCTTAACATCACCTTTACAGAATCCTTATTTTAAAGTTATTCTGTGTGGTGTGATTAGAAGAAAAACAAACAAACAAACAAACTTTAGTCATTTCCTTTATCAAGACATTTAAGAAAATGAGCTTTCCTCCCCTGGGCTCTTTAGTTAATTAAAAATATACATAATGATACAGAATCAATATTAACTCCACTTTGTTTACTTAAGGCATTGACTGTGTGTAATACATTTTTGCTTCCCATGAAAATAACTCAGTTGTCTCCTGACAAAACAGCTTTTACAGAAAATGTTTAGCGGTGAAAATCCAGCCTTTTGTCCATACTGAGGAAGGGCAGTTCCCGTAAATGGCTGAAATTTTAAAGTTGTTTGATAATTTTCTTGCAAAAAATACATGTATATAAGTATGCCAAAGCTCAAGGTATAAAAAAATGTAGCACTTCTACCAAAGAGCAGGAAATGAAATGCTCTCCTTGGTTATGATTTCCCAAGAATTTAATTTTCTATTTATGCCACCCCAAACTGAAAATATTTACAAGCACAAAAGAAATGACCATCATGGAAAAGCATCCCTATGTCTGGGCTAGGGATCCAGAGAACAAGGGCAGAAAGGCTCAGAAAAGGGACCGTCCCGGCTACCAGCCTCCCTGAAGATCTCATTTTTGGAATTCTCAGGCACTATATTCAGGCAACTCTTTTAATTAATGGGAGAAAGTCAATTAATCCCACCATTCTTTCCATACAAATCAGAAATTAGCTACAAATCTGGCCAACAAAGAAAATCAGATGAGACCATGAATAAGCCAATTTTCCAATATCTAGCTAGTGGAACTGGATCACTATTTCAATGAATAGTACATTCAAAAGCTTGGAGGACCATAAATAACAGAATCAAAACTATTCTAAAGAATACTCTTCTGTGAATATGCTGTAGACTAGATAGGGTGCCGTCTAAAAACTGCCTCATAATCAGGCCCTTTCCATTACTTAAATTCCTCTAAACTAATTTTTAAATTTCTATCTGGTATCAAATTTGAGAAGCAATGTAATATCAGACTTCAGAAAGTCGGCTCTGGAATCAGATGAACTGCGTTTGAGCGCCAGCTCCGTCACTAAGTGCTCTGTCACACTTAGCTGTGTGATCTCGAGCAAGTCTCTGTGTTTTGGTTCCCTCTTCTGTAAAACAGGGACAGTAGCGGTCCCTACCTCATAGGGCTGCTGCAGGACTGGATCACTATTTCAATATGTACAATCCAATGTTACATGTAATATCCACTGAGAGTGTCAATTTCCACAATGTAAAAGAATCAATGATAGTCCGAGGGCTATTCTTTTATGTCTATGTAAAACTGGCTATAGCACTGCCTGAAAACTGCTTCGTAAGGTTACGAAGTCAGGGATTTCTGTCTGTTTTGTTCACTCACGTATTCCCACAGCTACAAGGGGTCGTGGCACTTAAAAGGCACTAAATAAATATTTGAAGGATGAATGAATGAATGCGCCAAGAACAACACTTTCCACTTAGCACACATGCAATCAATTAACATTATTTTAATTAGGTGACAATATATGTGCAAGTCATAAAAGAGTTAAGAGCGCACACACACATCTGAACTGGTGCTCTATGAGACTTCCCTTGCATGCCCTGTACTTATACCCAGTTCGGCTATGTTATTCTAGGAGATGGAAGCCAGATGGCAGTCTACTCTACAGCAAGAGGTGTCAAGTTCTCCCATCATGCTTTGAATTCCTTCCGTTTGGGGACAATCTCTGGTTGGTATGCTTTCAGAAATCCACATTCTCACATCAAACTAGTGCTTAAGCCTCAATTCTCTTCCCCTGCCAGAATTCCCTTTGTGTGTTGCTCAACGTCAACTCCAAAGAGATTGTGACCGGTACTACGATATTGGAGTAACCTGGGACAGACTCTGAGCACCTGGTGGGATGGCCTGCAGCTGATGTGGCCGCGGCTGCCTGAGAGAATTTCATATACAGTGAATCTGTAGCATGTGACTGCAAACACATCCCATCAATGTTGCCGGCTGATGCCTGAGCTTATTTCCACTGATTAAAACAAACACAAAAAAACAAAACCGACTGCAGTTCATCCCCTAATCAGGAATAAGGAACTCTGTACTGGCTTCTTCCTATCCACAAAAAGTTGAGAACTAATTACCCTCATGAGGGTGGAGGGAGGAATGTAATTATGGAATCGGATGTGAAGCAAATTACTCCTAACGAAAGACAATTTGGCTTCCCGGTTAAGGCCGATGTCAATTCATACCCTTCCTTTAGGAATGTTCATGAACAAAGCTATGTGCACAGCTATCCACTTTCCTTGCAGAGGCTGTATAAAATAATCAACAACACTGTGTGGAGGGAAAGGAATCCCCAAACATGAAAACCCTGTGGAAGCTGAATTCAAGAAAATGGGCCTCACTGGGGTACTTTATGCAGATTACCACAACACAGGACACAAACAGCCTCACTCTGTAAAGAAAGCAGCTTTGTTCCAAATATTTTACAATCTATATCATAAAGTGAACACAGGTTATCCCCCAGCAGGTGTTATAATATGCTGAAACATCATTCAAATGTGTTGGCATCTTAAAGACTCATTCTGCTTCGAGGGACACCTAAGATTTTCAGAAACCACTTGGGTTATTTTTACTGTCACTTAAGAGGACCTGTGAGCATTAAGATAGGTGATCAGGCAATAAAAAAATACCCAAGAATATCAAATTAACAGGCAATTAATTGCACATTACTTAAGTTGTGCCTTGCAGAGAAAACCAATTCCAACATTTTGACTCAAGTAACTGGTCAATCCAGTTAAGCCGGACTTTGATCCAAATTTCTGGTTTCACCCATTTTGACACTGAACTTATCAAATAAATCTAACCATCATGGCATCGTGTTCACCTACCTTTACAATAGTCACTACACTCAAATGCCCAGAATTGCCTCAGAACCTTTCTTTCACCTACAAAAATCTCCTTGTGGGGGAAAACTGCAATAAGCTAATCATCTTTGGGGAAAAGAGATAAAAGAATTGAGAAGGACTGGAGAGTAACTCAAATTTAAAATAAATGCCTCAATAACATTACTACTTTGCATTTGATGCTCTTTTCACTGAAAATTATACCAAGGGGCTTTTCTCTAATTGTTGGCTATCTAAAAGAAAAAGAAAAACACATTTCCTATCACTATATTGGTCAATACACTATGCCAGAAAGGTCCCCCCTCCAAAACATTACAGATTCACGTATAACAGTGTTTGATGAGAGAGAAAGAGAATAGAATAAGTTTCAGAAAGAAAGACCATGATGAAAAAGTCATTTGACACAGCACTCCCCCATGGACTCTCTATGTTCTCATTAGTATCATGGGTTTCCAAGAAACGTCACAGTAAATACCAAGGGTGTAGTTCTGTTGGTATACACCCCAGTGAAAGATTTGGGGGAAGGGGATTAAATACTTTATTTTTGGCCTGAAGTCAACAGCTGGGGAAGCTGAACCTCTTAAATGACCAGACTTTTCGGCAGTAGGTGTGTGGGTTAGGGGGCTGGCATGGGCTCCCAACCACAGCTTAAGGAAAGACATACCCTAAATCTCTGTAAGAAATACCTTACTGTTTGGATATTACAGGCCAAATCATTAGAAAATTCTCTTTGTAGGATCTGGGGAGGAAGAGGGCAGCAGAGTCTGCCAAAAATAAGAAATCCTCATTTCCCACTGCAGGCCTCCACAGCCAAGGAGCCCATTGTTGTCCTAAGAGACATTCTACCTAATAATATCTAATTGATCCTCACCTAGAAAAAAATGGTGGCCATTTATTTTCTCAACACCACAGAGAACATACAGTAAGGGGAAAAAGAAGATTTTATTTTCAGAAAAACCTATAACCACATTTCAACAATCATGATCCTACATCAATACCACAGAATTGATTGATAAAATAACTAATATTTACTGAGCACTTACTATGTCCCAGGGAGCGTTCTAAGTGCTTTAGATAAACTTTCCTATGTGATCCTCACAACAAATCTAGGCTATAGGTCCTGTTCCTATCACCTTCTTACAGATCAAGAGACTGAAGCACTGGGTAACAGATCTCTTAATGAAATATCCTACAAGGGAATAACAGCAAATTAGCGTTCTATGTTTTCTTATGCAGTTATGAATTTAAGAGATTGCGTGCCAATGTGCTTTAGACAGTAGTCCAATTTCGTAAGTTAGCACGTTCAATCCTATTTGTATACAACGCCATTTCAACCTGGAGCCCCCCAGTAGATATAAGGGAACTCGCACGGCAGAGGATGGAGACCTCCAGGTCATGCTAAGTACCCATAACAGTGTATTCACCTTGTCACACTGCAGAGACTGCTGTCACCTAATCAGATATTTCAATACTTGAAAAATTATTCCTCCTCCAACACTTAAGTAGCTACATAGAGTTTATTTCTTTTTCTTCCACTTCAAGGGCATTAATGGAAGGACAGGTTGAGATCGAGAAGTTTCAGAATGATTTATAAATGTATACTTCATAGAAGCGGCTCTAATGGTGAGAAGAGAAAAACTAAGCAAGGTCCTGAGAGGTTAAAGGAAACCCACTCTATTATTCACTAACACCAGGTAAACCTGACCAACTCCCCAAGAAAGAAAAAGGCCTTCTCTGTTACACCGGGGCAATTCCTTAAAAAAATGATACACTAGTTTAACACTGAGTAAAAAAGTAGCCCTTTTCCAATTAAACTGCAAGGTCCACCATACTTATCCTTGACGGCACACGTCTTGAAGTTACCTGTATCTTGTCCTACAAGTGTTGCCACCAGTTCAATGCTATTAGTTCACTGAGTAAAGAAGCTTTCTCAAAACAAAGATTTAGGGATGCCTTACTTCATTAGAAAAAAAAGCAAAACAAAACCTGCGGATAGGTACAGCATGATATTCACTTCTATGGGAAATGCTGAAAGGGACAGCACAGAATTTTTAAGTGTCCACATGCAGGTTCCCTCCCTGACACAGAGAAGCTGGAACAAACAGCTCTCAATCATTCACTCTAATGGAGGGAAGTGGAACTCCAGGTAATCCAGAGTGTCAAATAATCAGCTTTTGAAAGCATCCATTTTCTTTGCACTTGAATTAAGGTACATCTAAAATTGGGTAACTCACTCTGAACTAAGTCTTAAAACCCCATGAGACAGTTTTCAGGAAGGTCTAGGAAGGAGCCCAGTTTCTTTTTGTCCTTTCTTTATCCAAGGTCTCCCAGCAAGATGGCCCAGGAAGGAAATACGGCCTGATCTCCTTGGTCCTGCTGTGGGCAGGGGGAGCTCAGATGCGAGGCATCCTGAGGGCATGTCAGGGAAGAGGGAGAGGGCTGCTAATAAACCAATAATTCTGCACACTCCATCATGTGAGCTCATCAGCGGAAGATGCCCAGAGACAGCCACCAGGCAGACTGGAGTCGCTTGGGTACCTATTATTCGTTTGCCAGGAAACCAGGTCCCAGTTTTACTCCCCGCCTTCCTTCACAGCATTCATTACAGTTTATAATTATATACTTGGGTGCATATTTGATTAATGTCTGTCTCTCTCTAATTAATTAAGAGGGCAAGAGTGCTTTTCCTCACCACTTGTACTCTCTCTCCCCCAGCATCTAGCATCCTGCCTAGATCATAGTAAGTGTTCAGTTAATATTTTCTGAGCAAATACATGAAACAGAAAGAATAAGTGCTATTAGCAAACCTGAAAGCAAGAGTTTGGAGGTAGAGAGTCAACCTACAGATGATGCAGTGTTGGCAGCATCAGGAAAAATACTGACAGGTTCCTGCTCTGTACAGACTAACATAAAAAAAAAGGCATAATCATTACAACTCAACTATGTATCTTTCTTTGCCTATGATGATATAACAATCTAATACTACTGCAGCAGTCCATTAATTAAAAGCCAGAAGCTCATATCTGAGCCATTAGCTTTTAATCACAAAGAAACACAGACTACGAATGGTAGTACTAAAAACACTAACAGTGACCTTTTTGTGACAGTCTCTGCAAAATATGCCTCAGGATCAGGAAAAACTAAAATGGCCATTTCATGGGGTCCACCTATGGAATACGACAGAATTGCTATCTGCTTGCCATGTGCCAACTTTAAGTCAGAAATCGGGAGCTGGAATTTTGCAAAGTCTATAACGCGACCTTGACAAGAAAATGAGGTATTCCTCACCAAAGAAATGTCGAAATGCAAGCCCTGACTCATCCCTTGTTCACCTTCACAATAAGGGAAGCTATCTTATACTAAAGAAATCAGGTGCAGAAGGTGCCTTTTCAATCACTTATTCCTCCTCCTTAATTATGAAACAGGTATGAGAATTCAGGAGCCATGAAATTAATTATGTTTTTGAAAAACATTTTGTTCAGTTATTCAGTGCAGAGGAGAAATGATTAAACGCTACCAATCCTCAATCTTCACAATTCTAACGAAGACTTCCTGATGATGTCTATACCGGGGCCAATCAGAACTGACCGTGAAAACAAAATATCCACCGAGAACTATATTAGCAGACTACTTAAGCTTCAAAGAGGCTCTATATTTACAGGTTACCCTTGAATTGAGATATAGTATCTGCAGAGTAGAGATTCTAAATCTCACCCCTTCGTTTCTCATGATAAACTGGATTATTTTACATAAGACTATTCACTGTTTTCTGTAATGACCTAAAACGCTGACTTGCACATTTACCTTAGTGTAAAACCGGGGCAGCTGAACTGAGCGAACAATCTTGGCATCGCTGTCTGTGCAAAGAAACAGGCTGAAATATGTTCTAAAAGTATCCCAAGGCTATCTCTTCCATCTTCCTCTGGCTCCTTTCAATCTGAACACAGCATTTTCGTCTTCATTTTCACTCCAGTTTCTTAACTCAGCAGTCCCCTGCCTCGCTGGCACTGCACTTGAGCAAACATTTCTTTGTGCCCGTGGTTTTCCTTTTTCTACCAACCGTGCGTACTTAGTTTCTGAATGCTGGGTGAAACAGTGGAAATACGAACCAAATATACATCCTGTCCATCACGCCACCATCTCCAAAATGTTGCCTAGTACACCTAGTACATCAACCCATTTATATCAGCAATGTTTGTGATATAAGCATCTAAGTCTCCCATTAGTGTAGTAGGAAGTACTCATTAAAGGGCAAGACATGCCTAAAACTGGTCGGCGACCACACGTCCCCTGGTTCAGCCACAGCCACTCAGGTGCTCACCTTCCTCTTCCTCCTCCTCTTCTTCTTCTCTTTGGCCGCCTGGGCTTGCTTGTGCTCCCAAACCAGATTAGTCAGGTTGGCCACATACTCATCGGTCTGCTGCAAGAGGTACGCTAAACGCCTGTCTTTCTTTTGGTCGATCAGTTTTCTATAGCCCTCTTCATCTTCAGCCTATTAAGGAAAGAAGAGCGTGATCAGAACATAATAAAAGTTTGCAGACGACACCTTTTTCCACTCATCCCTCCCCCACGATGGTCTGAACTTCGGTGGTCCACGCAGCACACACCGAATGATTCCGGCCGCCCGAGTTCTCGCACCCTGTCTGGGAATGGGGAACACATGGAGGTACGATGCCTATGCCCCGGGACACCAGAGTTCACGGCAAGGTCAACACACATAACTATTTATGTGGTGCGATCAAGCACTCTGAGCCAACTTTTCATGCTTTTGTGTTCCTTTAACTGCGCAAAAAGTGTTAAAATTTGAGGATTCACCATCGGAAACTTATTCTTAACTTTATATTTTGGAAAGTGTCAAATATAATCAAAAGTAGAGAAGGTAGTATAATCTCTCATATAACCAACACCAAGCAACAAAAATTAACTCCCCATGACTCCCGTTTGTTTCGCTGCAGCCCTTCCCCCACCTCCCCCCTGCAGTCCCAAACTGGCTTGTCCTGAAGCAAATTCCAGACGTAATAGCTTTTCATTCATAAATATTTCAATAAGTACTTCCAGAGGCAAGGAACTGAATAGGTTTTGAACAAATAACTTCTTAAACTTAAAAGCATTACAAGGACCTCCCTGGTGGCGCAGTGGTTAAGAATCCACCCACCACCTGAGGGGACATGGGTTCGAGCCCTGGTCTGGGAAGATCCCACATACCGCGGAGCAACTAAGCCCGTGTGCCTCAATTACTGAAGCCCGCGCGCCTAGAGCCCGTGCTCCGCAACAATAGAAGCCACCGCAATGAGAAGCCCGGGCACCACAACCAAGAGTAGCCCCCCCGCTCGACACAGCTAGAGAAAGCCCGCGCTCAGCCACGAAGTCCCAACGCAGCCAAAACTAAATAAATAAATGAATTTATGAAAAATGTGGTTGATTGGGAGGGATTTTGGTCACAGGTCAGCACTGCATAATGGGCCCAGATGACTGGAGACAAGTCATTAGTACCTGAAGCCTGACAGTGCTGAGCCCTAAAACAGACACGGTACTTCCCACTTCTACCTCCTGTTAAGCAATATTATGAGGTTAAATGGAATAAAAACTGATGCCTTCTGGGTCATTTCCAGAGAAATCGTTTTATACATCCCAATAAAAGGACATCTCAAAAATATCTTCCTCATGTGATGCAGGATAAAAGGAACACACTGCAAAATCTTTAAGAGGCAGCTCCTTACAGAGAAGCTTAGGTTTTTCAGTCCAGGGGTGTCCCTCCAGCATTTGCCCGAGTAACAGCAGCCTCATCACTCCGTCTGGCTGCTGTCTGCCCCATGGATGAGCGTGAACCTCAAATGCTATTACAACTGTAATTGCTTTTGGTTATGGTTGATCTCACTTGAAGAAAGAATGATAAAAAAAAAAACTTCAGTGTCTCTGTTATCTGTATATTCCATCATTTAATTGCGAAAATTAATGATTTGCAAATGCCTAATCATTAGTGTCAAGCCAATCTGTTACTGAAGTTCTAATATAGTTTCACTTCAGTTGAATCAGACAAATTTGACTGTTCCCTGCTCAAATACTATAAAATGGTCTCCCCAGCTAGTTAGCCATCTCCTGGTCCCCTCCCTCCCCCCAAACGAGAGGGAGGTAGGAGAAGGTGGTAAGATTTAGTAGACCCCGGACACAGAGCCTTTTAAAATATGGTGTTCACTCTCCGAAATCCAAAAAAATTAATGACAAACAAACGCAAACCGTAATACCAGCCAGGAAGACTATGCCATTTGGAATTTTCCAGGGACATAATTATGGGTTGCGGCTAATGATTTTATCTTCATCCAATACCCAGGCATTACATCCCAGATAGAATTTGCAGGTCTCCTATCAATATACATTGCACACACTTTTCTAAAATCCACGGTGTGCCCTGAGGTCCGATTCCAAAAATAAATGGCCAATAAACTCAAATACGCAGGCCAGTGATAGAAACCAATTCCTTCTGTGTTTCTATATCCATTAAAAAGTAACAGTGGAAATGAAATGACCCATGAATAGCCTTTGACAATAACACGGCTATAATCAAAAAAGCAGCATTTCAAAATTAACTTAAAAACCACTTTCTAAACTGTTAGAGAAAAATTTCTGTCAGAATTTTGAAGCACCAGCGGCTTCAAAAAAGGAGAACTTCTTAGATTCCAAGACACAACTTCATGAGATATTCATTCAAAACAACTTGTGTCATTAGTCTCAAAGAGGCAACACTTTAAAAAGAACTGCCGTTTCCATCCTTCCAGGTCTGGTGATCAAAACTCCTACAAAATATAGTACCTGCCTTTCTGTAAAAAGCTATCATCTGGGGCTTCCCTGGTGGTGCAGTGGTTGCGAGTCCGCCTGCCGATGCAGGGGACGCGGGTTCGTGCCCCGGTCCGGGAAGATCCCACGTGCCACGTGCCGCTGAGTGGCTGGGCCCGTGAGCCATGGCCGCTGAGCCTGCGTGTCTGGAGCCTGTACTCCGCAACAGGAGAGGCCACAACAGTGAGAGGCCCGCGTAGCGCCAAAAAAAAAAAAGAGCTATCATCTGAATAACAGTGCCACCCTAGGACATGGAAACCCTATACTCATCAGTGGTAGCCCTAGATTTGTGGCACTGCACTGTCTAGGAAAGGGAAGATATTTTTACTCCATCCCTGTGAAGTTCAAAGGAATGGATTAGTATATTTGATAAGCAGCTTTTACTCTCTCCTTCTACTACAGCATGTTTAACATTCTCAGTGCAGATGGCCGTGAGGGGAGCATTTTCCTGGCTTCCTGTAGGCAGGCCCCTTACCATCAATCTCCGCATTCTCTCCTTTTCGATCCGCTCGGTCTCCTTCTTCTGCTCCCTTTCAGTGTTGGCGTGCCAAGTGGCCACTGCTTTGGAAAGCTTCTGGATCTTCCCGGCCACAGACCGATGGTACTCCTTAAAATCTTTTGCATGCTGCAAAATACTGTTCAGGTATTCCTAAGGGATCCAAAGCGGGGAGAAGAGAAGGCTTAAAATTCAGTTCCCAATGTCGTTTGAGGTTGCATCATAGTACAGGGAAACTCTGTGTATTGAACAGCCATGGGGGACTAGAACCTATTTTGGGACAGGTGCCCTGGTGTGTCTCCATAGCTGAGGTGTGGGCTATGTAGTGGTGGGAAAGATGACATCTCAAAGTTCGTTTTGGTGCCAGCCGGTGGAAGAGAAGCCTCCCCGGCCTTGAGGGTGTGGCCACGTGAAAATGGAAAGATCAAAGGTTGAGAGAGACCTACAAAACAGTGAAGATAAAATTTAAAGCAAATCACTCCCAGGTAAACCTCAGGGAGACGGGTGTTTCCAGTGAGAAGCGTGTTACAAAAGTAGTGTTTCTTCCGCTCTCACTTAAATACCTTAGAATTGTCCCTCAAAAAAAGTCTTATAGGAAGCTAAAATTGCCATATATCTTTTGCATCCACTTTTTAAATAAAGAAGGGGAAACTTATAACCTTATTTACACTTAAGTCCAACACTTTTCAAAACAAAACTTAATCAAGGCACTAAATTAAGCACAGAAAAACAAGTAAAATTCACAGGATTACAACACGAGATCAAATCCTACATCAAAATATTCCCAAATCCCTAGAAAGGAATGTTTTAAAATATCTGCCCCTGTGAAACCTTCAACTGGGCCCTTGAAAAGCCCAGGACACTATATTTATATCTGTGATAAAAATAACTGTTTGCCCGCTTCTTCCCAAGTTCCCTCTTCCCCAGGACTTTGTTCTAGGAAACCCGCCTGTGCCTACCCAGTCAGCAGCATCCCATGGGGTTATGGACACGTGACTGGAATTCAGAAAGCAGGGTCCCCCCCACCCCCTTATCCTGTACTGACCGTTTGCGTGTCCTTGCGGAGGTCACCTACCACTCTGGTTGGGCCTAGGTTTCCTCATCTATGAAATGGTGTGGTTGGACTACGTAAGGATCCCAGGATCCTTTCTGTGATGTCCCCACTGCCCATAGTTGTCCATTTTTCAGTGGTTCTGACTCCGCCCAGTTTCTTGGTTAGCATCTCTGTCAACAGCAGGGCACCCAGAGCCCAGGCCCAAGTACCTGGTGCTTCTGCCGACGCTTCCTCTCCTGCTCGATCTTCTGCTGCTTCTCCAGCTTCTCTGTCATGCGGGCTTCCCTCAGGGTCTGGCGCTTGCTCCGTTTGTATGCTTTGGAGTTGAGGGCCGTCTCCAGGGTCGTGTCCCGTCGCATGCAGGCCACTACCTCCTGTCTCAGCTGTCAAGAGGGGAGCAGTTAGAACACCTCCCCAGACGGAGGCCAGACCCCCGTCGTCCCCTGCCCTCCATTTAGCGGAGCCGAATGGTGACTCCCTGAGTTTCTCCATCACAGTTGGCCTTTTAGGAAACAAAGGGACTACATCATGCTGAATGTATATGGTATTTTCAAAGATGCTCTAAGTTTTCTTTCCAAAAAATTCAGAGGGGGAGCAAGTACGGCACTGTTAACAGTAAAGAAAATAAATCAGTAAGTAAGTAGAGGATGTCTTGGCTTTCAAATAAATTGATTCACTCTATTTAATTATCCTAATGATATTAATTAGTTAATAAGCTTTTTACATTTTTTTACTTCATTTTAAGTGCCATGCTAACTTTCTCTTTGCGCTTAAAGATGAATGTGAACAACGCTGGGCAAAAAAGAATAGAAGAGTTACTTCCTGCTCATGTAAAGTAGCTGCAGATATGCAAACAGTGCTAATTCATCATCTCCTGTAAAAGACGGGAAATACTAGTTTGGGCTTCCTCCCACTCCTAACAATGATATTCTTTGCAAGATACTTAATTTTTTTTTTTTTTTTTTTTTTTACTGTATTATGGACTTCTTTTAGATCAGAAATATAGTATTTCATTCATATTGTATGTTATGTGGTGGTAAAAGGTCGGGGGTGGAAACATGCACTGAAATAGCAATTCGACTGAATCTGAAATCAGCATCCATTACAGCTAATTTCATTGGAAAACTTCACAGATAACAGATTTTTCAATAATATGAAGCAAAAACCAGAAACCAAGCAGAATCCAGCATAGTGAAGCTAATTTGAATCTAATCTTATTCCTGAAAATACTCATTTAACAAAATTTTATTAAACAGCTTATCAAGGCATTTTATGAAGTTACCTGTAAGAAAGAAGCAAATGGAGTGCAGAAAGTTTTTTCTTTTTCTTTTTTTTCCTTTCTTTTTTTGTTTTTAAGTTAAGCTCTAATCTACTCTCACAAACCTACGGTCAAGTAGCCGCCAGCCACCACGATGCCCCTCTCGTGATATTATAACCAACAAGGCAAAACGTATTTCCAAGTTCATATGACAATAGCAAGAGGGCTGGCCTTGTGATTTTACTCACATCCTCCAATAGACCAAGTCATGTAATTCAGTACTTCCAAACTACTTTCAGTCATTAATTATTCATTTTGCATGCCCCGAGACCTTCACCAAACAAGCCCATCTGACTGGCGAGGAAGCATTCCTTTTCCCCTTTGGTTAAATGCCGCTGTGTGACGACCAGGGGACCTGAAGCTTTGTGGTGAGAAGGCAAAACTCACCAAAGTGAAAATTAGCCCTACTTCATTCCACTAGTCTCCTGCTGATTCAGCAATTATCAAATAGATCGCTATGCTAGCCTTTCATTTTTTTTTGGTACGCAGGCCTCTCACTGCTGTGGCCTCTCCCGTTGCGGAGCACAGGCTCCGGACGCGCAGGCCCAGCGGCCATGGCTCACGGGCCCAGCCGCTCCGCGGCACGTGGGATCTTCCCGGACTGGGGCACGAACCCGTGTCCCCTGCATCCGCAGGTGGACTCTCAACCACTGCGCCACCAGGGAAGCCCCTATGATAGCCTTTCTTAATCAGTGACTACTAAGACCATAGCAAGAACAATAGATACAAATTCACTGATAAGTCAAATATGGGGGTCTGATGTGATAAAATGCTGCAAAAGTAGGTGTTGACGAATAATCAACAGTCACAAACCAGTTTTATGTATTTCTATAAACAATGAGCTATTTAGTTGAGTGGCTTTCGTCTTTGTTAAAATGATTTTCAGAGTCATGGCTACGATTTTACATTTCTCTTTACAAAGAAGCTCTGACCTATCACCTTCCTGTTTTTTTTTGAAACCATAAAGGCAAACATGAGCTATCCCATCTGTTCTCAAGGTTTCATCTACAGTAACAAAATGCCGTAACTCTGACTTTGGAAACCATAATATGGAAGAAAAAAATATCTCTGATGTACAGAAGAGAAAAATAAAATAATAAGCAGTTAGTCTTCATTACTTTCAGTTCTGTGCTGCTGGTCGAAAAGATACAGTCTTTTACTAAGTTTATATCTTTATACCGATATTGAACGACTTAAGGAAACACACAGATCACACTCTGGAACAATTATATTTATTTCCTGCACCTCAGATGTGCTGGCGAAAAGGTATTACCTGACGCTGGAAATTGAGTAACCGAAGTGCTTTCAGTTCCACGGTTGCTTTGGTTCGTAAATCTGGTGGCAAAGAGCCAGGGAGATTTTCCAGTTCCTGTATCCTATGGGCTATGCGAGCCTGAAGTCTAACGGAGATAATAAAATGGGGGAGGGGGAAGGTGGAAATATACATTACAGTCTGGTCTTAAATGATAGACAACAACCTTAGGTTTAAGTTCACCTTCCAGATACTGACGGCCGATTTCTGATACCCAACTAGATTATCTGATGTTAAACAGAGAAAAGCTACCTTTGCATTAATGCAGACACAGGTGCTATATTACTTAACACTTTGGCCTTCTTCACAACCTCTTTCTAACAGCCAGGAAGGAAGGCTCAGAATACATCTAGGAGGAAAGTCAAGCCCCACGGCTCCCTCCGAAGAGAGCGAGAGAAAATGAGACAGGAAAATATGACTTGCTCCCAAACGCCTGGCCAGCCAGAGTGCAGAGCTGAGACGACAGAGTTCTCTTTCTAACTTCTAGTTCTGTCCTAAGGCAATGGGGCCATTTGCCCTCCTTGCCAAGATGCTGACGATGACAGCCAGTAAAGCTGAGTGAACAAGAGCAGTGTTAGGTGCTGAGGTCACAGAAACCAGCCAACCCAAAACATTCAGAGAGAGAGAGCGTGCTACCGGCCACAACCATTTCCTCTGCGAGCAGTGCTTGCTTGAGAAAAGAAAAGGCAAATCAGGCATTTTTAAAAATCAGGTTTGGAGCAGCAGTAAATAGTAAACAGTTTTTAAAAACTAGGAGTTTCCAGGAAAGGACTGCTGGGGAGTCTCATTCTGGACATCATCAAAAAACAGAACTATAAGTACTTCCTCACAATAGAGGCAGAATAGAAAATAAAAGACTTGCTACTTTATTCATTTGGGATACCACTACTGTTAGTCATAGAAACTGGTTTTAGGGTTCACCTGGATCCTATTCTTACAAATAATTACATGCCATCTAAATCTATTTTTAGAATGACCTCCCCCCAAATTTGGGGCAAAACTGTCTTGGAACAGATTTCGACAAAGAAAGAACAGTAAAAGGTAGTAAGTTAAACTAAACTAATAGTAACTACACTAAGTTAGGTGCATCTAAAGCACAATTTAATTCTCTCTCTCTCTCTCTCTCTCTCTCTCTCTCTCACACACACACACACACACACACACACACACACACACACACACACACACCTCTACAAGGTAAATGCACCATTTTATTGAAGAGAAAACTGAAGTTCAGAGATATTAAGAAACATGTGGACTTCACAGAGCCAGTAAAGGAGAGAGCCAAGGCTGGAACCCTCACTGGCCTGACACAAACACCACTGCAACGATACTGCAGATAATTAAAATATACTTCCTAACTGCAAACTCCCTTGGAACTCAACTATAAAAATTGATAATTAAAGATTCTGTTAAAAATTAATATTACGCTTTTTTCAACCTTTATGATGCTGTCTGTTGATATAAAAAAGTAAAACCTTCTGTGACTTAGATGTTGCAAAATATCTTAATAGTTCATATAGCCCAAATATATAGTTCATATAGCCCAAATGAGGGCGTTTTAAAAAACTTAAGAGTTGTTTGTTTTGGTAGTGAAATAAAATATCATCTTTTTCAAAACTTTAAAAATGATAGTAAGGGTAATACATCATTTTTCACTAACTTCATTGACAATAATATTCTGATAGATTCCTCTTTTATTTGGTATATACATGTTATTAATTCGGATTTACTAAATGATTTATCATCATAATGTGTTATTACTAATATTACTGTTATTGTGTGTTATTTCAACTATGCATACCAACACAAACAATAGTACTTTTAAATGGTTTAACCATGCAACAGACTAAAAATGTGTCAGTTCAAGCAACAACAATAAACTTACATCAATTTATTCTCTTGATCAAATTGTTCAGACTCTCTCAACCTTCTTCCACATTCCTTTTACTATTGATACTCATGGGATTCTCATCGCAGTTTAAAATTTTTCTTTGTATGAAACAAACCTTTACTTTCTTTATCCAATTCAATTTCTTAAATACGCACATAACCAAAAATTCCCAAATAGAGAAATGGCTGATGGATCTTAACAATTAGGATATTAAGAGAAAAATCTATAACAGATTCTTCTCAAATACATAATTTAAAGGGAAAAAAACTAAGCCAAGATAATTTTACTTGTGTAGCGTCAAGGCCATACTAAAGGAAATTTAGATACTACAGCAGGGTGAGATATGGTTATTCTGCTTCCTTGGTTCTAGATTATTGCAGACCCTTTTCATTTGACTATCCCAGAACTCAAACTATCCCTTGGTATTGTGTTTTACTCTGTTTGACAAAGTGGGTCAGGTGCTACATTAGAAGAATGGCTGCTTTTTCCTTAATCATCTAAAGGACTATGGAACTAGGCCTAAATAAATAATCTTAGGACAACCGGGCTGACCGTGTAGAGACTAAATCACACTGAACCGGGAGCGGGGGGAGTTGGAGAGCAGAGAGGAGTAGGGAGGTGGGGAGGTGCGGAGTGGGGTAGATGGAGCCTTGGCTGACTTGGGCATGGGAGGGGGTGAGGGGGTGGGAGGGGTGCACTTCTTCCTGAAATGACTGCATCCCCGAAGGGCCTAGTAATTTGTCAGTGAATTTCAGATTCCCCAGCACAAAAGAACCTTTCTTTTATGAAAGGGAGGCAAGAAGTTCAAAGTGCAAACGTGCAAACTATAGGAGCAGAGGAAGGGTAGATTCCAAAGTAAAATCGTATGCATTCGATTCAGCACACGGTGTGTGTGTGTGGGGAGTAGCAAAGGTACAGGAGGGGCTTCTTTTTACATAGAGAATTTTATCTGCGTGTGTGTGGTGGTTAATAGAAATCTTCGCTTTAAATAATGCGCCTCTCCAGACAAGTTCATCTTCCCATCAGTGGGATTCAGCAGGTAGCCCGATAAGGAGATAGATTCAGGATTCTAAATTCTAAACTTGCCGAAACAACAACAGATGTAATACTGCATAACTGCGGGAGACTCATTTAGGGTCCTCACGGGTACAGAAAATTGAAGCAGAATTAGGTCGCTCAGGTTTTTCGTACAGATTGAACAGTAAATCAAGAGGGCTTACTGTTCTGACAAGAAAAAGAGTTCCATTAAAGGCGACAGATATTTGTTCAGGTCCAGAGGAGAAGTTTATGATTCCTGTAGGAGAGTTATTTGAACAGAAAATGACACTGGTACATTTTGTTCCTTCCAGGAGCTGAGTGACACTTTTTAAAAAAGAGAGAGAGGGAGACTGACTTTTGGCAACTCTGCTGATGAAGCGGCTCTTGGTGATTTCTAAGAAGGGATTCTCAGGGTTGTAATGGAGACCAGGGCAGGACAAAAAACACGGTAAGAGACTATGCTGGCTTCCTGAGGCAAGGAGGCTATACTACTGTTTTCATACTAAATTCTGACTTGATACCAAAGAGGGCTCACATAATTCAAAGATGCTCTTCAGATATAAACTCCTTTCAATGTGAAATATATTTCTTTCTCACGCAAACATCTGTGTAATTTACATGCTAACGTGATAATTCGTGGAGCACTTCTGACCAACCCTCTAATCCTAGATGGAAGAACTGAAGTTAGGCACATTGACAGGGCCGAAAAAGCATGCCAAAACACCAAAAAAAAAAAAAAAAACCAGTCACTGACACTTACTACAGAGAAAAGCAGTATAGTTCCATCATGAGAAAAGGATGGTCTAAAAGAAAGGATCCAATTTAAATGAGAACAAAATGTTTTTAACTGAAGAGCTTGTATAGATCTGAGGCAAAGTGTTCATACGCAGAAACTTATTTATGCTATTACTGAAAAAAGATCAATTTGTCAAAATTCTGATTTTATGAGGAACAAGGAAAAGCGGCCAAGTGACTTAAAAGTAAAAAATTTAAGATTCTGACAATTTCCTTTCAATTTTCATAGACAAGGTAAGTGATATTACAACAGTCAAAGAAACAAACATCTGTTAAAGAATTTCTGACAGGTGATTTTTGCTCAAACCAAGTTTATGAAATTATAAAAGAGACTTTTTTAAAGACCTTGCTCAAATCCTCAATCAGGAGACAAAGATACACTGGACTCTTCCTATCAGTGCTAAAGAGTAGTAAGCCGTTCTCTCAAAGAGGGGCAGAAGAAAAAGAGTTTTTTAGCTGTCTTTTACAAGTGCCTAAGGGACGTAATCTAACCCTTTTTAAGGGATAAATATAACTAATCTCTGCAGCTGGACAATTTATCTTCATAGAGGCAGAAGCCAGCTACTGCTCTATAACTGAAGACAAAAGATGCCCCTACAAAACCCTGCCAGTGTAAACCTTAGCCTCTTCTCAAGATGGCCACGGGAAACTTCAGGCCAAAAGACCCACCAGCTTTTTGAACCCAGGCTTGCCAAATCAATCACTTCAAAAGCCAGGTGGGGGCTTCCCTGGTGGCGCAGTGGTTGGGAGTCCACCTGCCGATGCGGGGGACGCGGGCTCGTGCCCCGGACCGGGAAGATCCCACATGCCGCGGAGCGGCTGGGCCTGTGGGCCATGGCTGCTGAGCCTGTGCGTCTGGAGCCCGTGCTCCGCAACGGGAGAGGCCACAACAGTGAGAGGCCCATATAACGCAAAAGAAAAAAAAAAAAATTGGTATATTTTATTGTATGCAGGTAATAATAATAATATGAAAAATAGCCATTCCACCACCTTCTGCAACGCTTATAATTTAAAAGATACTGATAGATACCCTTTTTTTTTAATTGACACAGGTGTGGAGGACAAAAGCTTTCCACACACTGGAATAGGCTAAATAGTACCAATTAATACTGAATACTTTAGGAGACCATCCCTTAAGATCATTTTCAAAAAAAGTGCTAAAATGAGCTCATTACAAGAAAGGCCTGCAAATACAATTCTGGTAAAGATGAAAAAAGAAGGTTTAGGAGTCAGTAAGCATGCACACACACACACACACACACACACACACACACACACACACACACACACAACATAGGATGAATAAGGGGGAAAAAAATCCGGATGTATTTCTAGGTATAGTGTCTGTGTTACAAGGGTAGTTCATGTGATTTAACAAAGGGACTGGTAGCTCTGTACCTTCAAGGTGGGAAAACAACATTAGCTCTTAGGAAGTCAGAATTTCAGAGTAACCAAACGATACCCCTCTATCTCATTTACTGTCTTTTCAAAAAAAAGACTTTTGACTTTTTTATTCAATAGCAACATAAAGAAAGGACTGCATATGAATACAGTTTGTCTGCCCCAAATGAGTACACAGTGCTAATATTTGACTTTTATACCACACTGAGATTATTCACCCAACAGAATCTGCCTATCAACACTGAAATATCAATTGATGATGGGTATCTAGCTCTCCAGGGATACGTGAAAAGCTGAAAACAGAAACATAAAAGCTCTTAATTGAGGATTAGTAATAGCAGTGAGAATAAAGTTATACTCTTCATCCAAAAAGGTACGCACATTTAATGGCAAGTTACTGTGATTTCTTTCAAAATAACTCTTAAAGCTGGTAACTTAGTATTTTAATATAATAACAAGATAAGTCACGTGTTTTCCAATAAAGAGTAAGGTAATGTTTTTAAAGGGCTCCTAGACATTATTTACTAACATTCCCTATAATTTTTAAACCCTAATTGTCTTTTAACTTAAATCATACTTGGGAAATAATAATAACAGCTAATATGTATTGAAAGTCCTTGTATCATTTTATCTTCTCCCTACAAAAGATACTATAATACCCTCTTTTAACATAGGAGGAAACTGAGTCACAGAAAAACGATGTAACTTGAGGAAGGCAACACAGCTAACAGCTAGTTAGTGGCAGAGCATGCTTTCTGGCTGACTCCCAAAACCGTGATCTTCGTTTCATCTTATCTTGACTCAGTACTTACTGGACTCTCTTTTTGGTTGACATTAACCATGTACATCAAGGATCTGCTAACTACAGCCTGTGAGCCAAACCCTGCCCATAGCCTGTTCTCATAAATCAAGTTTTACTGGAACACAGCCAACACGGCTGCTTTCACACCATCAGGGCAGAGCTAAGTAGTTATGACAGAAGCTCTAGGGCCCTTTACAGAAAAGGTTTGCCAATCCCTGATTTAGATAAATGTGCCAAATCAGGTGAAAATGAAGTTTTTGGAGTAAGAGTTTAAATAAGGACCCCATGTGAAGACACTTACATAGGGCCTAGCCCAAAAGCTAGACCAAGCCCCAGACCAACAAATGCATGAACTCAATCAAAGAAGACATTATATCATGCTACTGAAGTACCGCTTTAGTATCACTAGATGTGTCATTAACCTGAAGGTTAGGCCAACAGAACACTCAACATCTGAGCCGCTTACAGTCACCATTCAAGGACAAACTGACAAACCAGAAGGAAACTGCATAATCTAAGCGTGGGCTAACGGCCTTCCTGGATCTTTAGGAACTCTGGGCTGGACTTTTGATCTTGGCATGTCATAGGGGTGCATAAAAGTTTTCTGACTGAATGAGTGAAAAGCACAGTCCTGGGAACCTAGAACCCCCAGAAGAGGGTCCTCACCCCCACCCCAGTGGCAAAGAAACTCTTCTCTTGAGACTTTGTTCTAAAATCATTCTCAAGCCTGAGTCTTGGCCTCTGCAATTTCCCTTAGGCCTTTCCCTGGTCCCACAGAAAAGAATGACCACAACACCAGGAGACACCTGACCCCCTAGGCTGGGTGGTACCTGCCAGAACACAGCATCTTACTCCCGGGGCAGGTGCATTACCTGTACTCCCGCTCCTGCAGAATCTCCACGGGGTCCAGGCCCTGCGGTTTCTGGATGGGGCTGATCCGGCTCTGCTTCTGCTGCAGCTGCAGGATGGGCGAGGGCTGCCCTGGGGTCGGCTGCGGCACCGAGGGCCCGGGCACGGCGGCTGCGGGTGGCGGTGCTGCTGCAGGGGGCGCGGGCGAGGGCCGGCCGCTGGGCGCGGGCACCGGCAGCTTCTGCGGGGGGCTCGGGCCGCTCAGCTCCGGCCCCGGGCCTGCGGGACAAGAGCGACATGGGCAGCTCGGGAGGAAAGGCACCCCGTGCCCATACCCGGCCTGCCCGCTGCCCCCTGCGAGCCCGGCGATGGGGACAAGTAAAGGTCTCACGAGAAGAAAACAGGAGGGAAGGGAGGAAGATGAGGAAGGCAGGAGGGGAAAGGAAAGGGGAAAAAGAAAGAAAAAAGAAAAAGAAAAGAAGCTGGCATCTATCCCAAAGGGAAATGGCCCAAAAATGACTCTTAGGTAATAAACTGATTAACGAAGGTACAGCCAGCTTTTAGTATAGGTCTACAGCGGGATTTAAAAAATAATTCCAGGTGCATTCAGGGTTCTGAAAAAGCAAGGGAGTCACCCACCAGTCGGATGCAATTTGGGTGTGGTCCCAAAATCACGTTTTGCAAACTACACCACAAGCCCCCTCCATCCCAGCGTGGAAGAGCCCTGCTGTTAGAACCCATGCTTTACAGTACAGGCAGCAGCTCTCCAGTCCTCTGACGTGAACTAAAAGGGGCATGCATTTTCCCTAAATGAACTATAAACTGTATTCATCAGTGCATATAGGGAACTTTAATATTTTACTACATATTAGAAAATATTTCTGAAAACATTCAGTGCAGGGGGAAAAAAGAATCTGCTCATTCCACCTAAGAAAACTTAGCAAATACTAAGATTCAAGAGAGCATTTTTCTCATGTTATCAGAATAAAGGGATACGCAATCATTAAGCTTATCAAAAGGCACTTAAGTTAATTTAAAGCAATTTCCCACATTAAACTTCAGGAGTTTAAATTGATTGCTAGGTCTGGACCTAAAATAAGCGTTCCATCTCTCCGCTTAGGTGAATTTTTACTTACTTCAAAGTTATAAATAAAATTAGTGATGCTACCAGAGGGGTTAGTAAATTAAAAAAAAAAAAAATCTCAGTAAGCAGATGTTAAAAACCCTCACGGGCATTCTTCCAAGTGTTTTCTATATCTTTCCGGAGAAATATTAAAATTATTAAACGGTAACAAAACTAATCATCTCTATACTTCAGAGCGACTTAATAATTAACCATACAAAGACATACATTATGAGAAAGTAGACGCATTTATTCAATTTCCAGCAAACACCAGTTAGAAGTGGGCTTAAATGGCAACGCAAGGATATAGCAAACATTCTGACAGGAGGAATTGGAAGAGTTAGAAGAAAGTGCTTAGGAAACTACAGTGTGTGTGAGTGTGAGTATATGTGTCTGTGAGCGTGTGAGTGTGTAGTGTTGTTGGTCTTTTGTTCACTTCCTTCTGAAATTAGGTAAAACTTTCCCAAAGACCTAGGGCTAGTTAAGACTTCTTGAGGTAATCTGTAGCCCTTGTTCTAGGATTGATGAAAAGTCTGGAGGGAAAAATGCATTTCTGGTTTTTTTTTGTTTTAGGCACTGTAGATATACTATTATAATAAAGAGATTCTTTTCAGCTAAGTACATTCTGATTTTTTTTCTGAATGGGAGGTCTTTTACATAATGCATAGCTTTTCATAATATTTCAGATTTAGTTTCTTTCATCCATATGTAAGAAACCAATTTCTAAACATTAAATCTTAAGGTTGTTAAGCATTGGAATGAGATATGGAGGGACATTTTTTATTATATTTTCCCTCGAGGCCTTTAAAACAGGGTAGATATTTTTTATCTGGGTTGCTTGAGCCAAAAGAGAGGAGATAGAGATTTCTAACAATTACTTTGATTCTCTGTGATTCTACGAATTTCCCTAATAAGCTCAAGAAATTGGTAGTTAAAAATATTTGAAGAATTTGTATGAGCATACCAAATAATAGATTTAATACACTGAAGCCCTTTAATAAAAAGAAAATCCGGGTCTTACTGATAAGATTGATATCATACTAATTACCCTAAATTCAGTTCTCAAAGTTTAAATAAGTCATCAATAAAAGCCATACCAGTGCAATAGTGTACACATTTCACTTACTCTGGGCGTCTTCTTGTTTAGCATTATGGCTTGTAAATACTTACGTATTTAATACTTATGTACTTATGTACTTTAATACTTAAAGTACTTAAAGTACTTATGTACTTTAATACTTATATGTGTGCCAACTCCTCGAGGTATATTCAAGTCATTATTTTTAAAACCATACAATCAAAGGGACGTATCCAGAGCATGTCTGATATCCCTGGTTCCAAATCTAGCCATTTCCATCCAGCCCATGACTGTGAACTAGATCTGATGCATACACACAGCTAGGCTTCTTTAATCCATTAATACAGAGACATCCTTATGTGGTTGAAGGACCCTTAAAATTGAGAAGCCAGAGAGACCAAAATGTGGACTTGGATATTCAAATCTCCAATTCCAAAAGGACTACAACTCCAAAAGATACAAGGTGCACCTTGTCTCTTTCCAAAATAACTGGTAAGTTTCACCTACGGGCTGTGTGAGCCTCAGCAAGTTACTTAGCCCCCGGTGCTTCAGTCTCCTCATCAGTAGGAGTACAGTACAGTACTCACCTCACAGGGTGCTAGTGAGGATTCAATGAGACAATGTGGCTATGTGCCCAACCCTCAGCTCTGGTCATTTTTACTGCCACCAAGGACACCAAGGTAAAGAAGCCTAGTTTAATCACTCAGCTTTTCAGAAAAGCTCCACAGCAAAAGAAAGGCTTTCAAGGAAATTTGGTACTGTATTAGCCGGCAAATTTGGAAGTGCACTCTTCTAGAGCAAACTTCAAAATGTTTCCACAGTTTAATACAACTCAGCACAAACACTCAGATAAGTCGGCTTGCCATGTGCTTCCTGCTAATCCCCCATCAGTCACAAGCAAACTCCTTTCTAACTAAAAACTGCAAGTTCATTTACTGCCTGGGTCTATTTTATCCTCCCTCCAACAGATTACATAAAAACTTCTCTTTACAGAGGCTAGGGGACTGACTGCAGCTTGCTGCAATTAGACATGCCCAGAACACAACTACCTAACCATGAGGTGTTCTGCCTGTCCTTCAGGCAGTTGAGGTGCCTGAATGGATTTTCTCTGTATCAACAGAAAGCATCTCGACAACAGACACTCATGGTCTGCAAAATGATAAGAACTCACGCCCTGATATCTTCAGATGGAGGACAAATTACATTCTTTAGCTTATCTCCTATTCCCTCGCCAATATAAACAAGTTAGGCTGAATTGTCAGAGGTACAAAATGTGTCTGTTTTCCAGTCAGTCCTCACTTTAGAAGTCAAGGTAGGTATACGCCCTGACTCTCCTGAGGGGTGTCCCACAGCAGCTAAGTGTTGGGGGGAGGGATCTTTATTAGATGCCTGAATTTAAGAAACAGGTACACAAACTTATTAAATTACCTAAGTCTCACAGGTACAGAATTTCTGTACAGAGTTCCCACTTTACCCTCTGCACAGAAGGATGTTTACGCAAATAACAGTCTGTGCATTAGACAAGGATTTAAGTGGTTTCCAGAGGTTGAAAAAAATAAATGTAATAATGATGCTTAAATGAAGCATACGAAGAAATTTTAGATAACTAAAAACAGGAGAGGGGGAAGCAGGAGAGGCACAAGCACTGAAAAAAATTACCAATAAATCTCTCACTTTCTACCATGAAGGCTTCCCTACCCACCGCAAAAAAACCCAAAACTTTTCAGTTCCTATTTTGAACTTTGCTTTCGTCTCTAAAAAGAAAAATGAATCAAAATTAAAAGAAAAACGCTGGGTTTGATTTGAGTGAAGCCCATAGCAGGCAAGGACCAGAGTTATTTATTTGTTCAGTGCACACTTCCGCCAGTCAAACTGTAATTCTCTGGTGGTGGCACTTGTGGTGAATGATAACTTTGGAGTAGGTTTGAGGCAGATCACCCCAGCCAAAAAGATTCTCTTCACACATGAATGACACTGGCAAATCGGACAAGAGAAAAATGGAATCACAGCTACCACCAGTGAAGCTGACATACTTAAGTTGATTTTTTCCTGAAATATTAGCAGAGGCATTTATAAGCAATTATATTGCTTTATTTAAGAAAAGGAGGGGGATAAACAATTAATACAAGTAATGTTAACTTAAAAATCCTTTTTTTTTTGTCTTACTTGGACTTGTCCGAAATACCCATGCAAAAAAAAAAAGTGTCTTTGTCAAGTAAGGTCATCATCTCCCTGTGAAATCTGAGATTTGGGCACAAGATGAGCAATGTAACCTCCCCCTCCCAGTGGCAGGAATGAGTCTGCTCTATTTGAAGAAAGTATCCTCTTTCCTCCTTTATCCATAGCCTCTTTGCCCACTCTGGCACTATCCGCCCAAATATTTTCATTTCTAATGAAGCCTGACTGCTGGAAATACAAAAGACATGAGCAGTGACTAACAAAACAAGTTCCCCCTAATGACAGGACCCTGGCGAGGGAAGATGTACGCATTGGGTAAAAAAAAAAAAAAAAAAAAAAAATGGAGCCCTCTTCTCTGGAAATGATCCAGAAAATGCACCCAGGATTGTGTTGCTTAGGATGTGAAGTTTTGTTATATACAAGTGTCCGGCTAACTGAAAATCCATCCTTTAAGTTTTACTACGTCATCTGATCTCACTGTGGTGACTCTGGCCGAAAGGGTTTCTCAACGAAATCACTTAGCTTGCTGTCTTCTTGAACAATACCCTGGAAACTTTTCCTATTGTGCGTAGGTCATTTTTAAAAATAACAAGCCTCGCTGAGGTCCATGACGAGGGGATACCGCAGGACAAGATGCGATGCACGCGGAAGTGTGCCTGTGTGACATGGTCCCTCACGATTACCTTTTGGGAGGCGCAGATTTTGCTCCTTCCACCTTAAACTATCAACAATCTGACCATGACCATTCAGCCTCTACTGGGAACTCCTTTAGTTAATGCTCCTCATATACTGAGATGCAGGATATCAAGGTCACCAATGTTGCTGACACCGTGTCTAGAGTATGAATAAAAAGGCTCTCAGGGCTTCCCTGGTGGCGCAGTGGTTGAGAGTCCACCTGCCGATGCAGGGGACACGGGCTCGTGCCCCGGTCCGGGAAGATCCCACATGCCGCGGAGCGGCTGGGCCCATGAGCCACGGCCGCTGAGCCTGTGCATCCGGAGCCTGTGCTCCGCAGAGGGAGAGGCCACAACAGTGAGAGGCCCGCATACCGCAAAAAAAAAAAAAAAAAAAAAAAAAAAAAGGCTCTCAAAAAGGAGCAGAGATCCTTTTCCTTCCTATGCACAGGAGTGAAATGTCCGCACTTGGTACACAGAGCTTGGGAGAGAGACTTTCCCTTGTCATGAGCCTATTGGTCATGAAGGAGCCAGGATGGGGAAGGGGGTAAGGCCATGGGCTCTCCAGTCAGACTGCTGGCATTGAATCCTGACTCTCCATACCCCAGATGTGCCACACGTGCAAGGTACTTATTACTGAGCGTGGAGTACAAGGTAAGCTAGCAGGCACTCAGTAGGCACAAGCTACACACATGCATAGACATACATACATTTTTGCTTCTCTCTGGCTGCACTCCTGAGAGCTAGTTTTTACAGTTTTAAAGCTTCTGAACACACTTGAGTGTTCAAACTACCATTTTATGCATGGTTTTCCTGTACAACATTTTCCATCTCTGATTTTTGGTCCCATGGGGTCCTCCACCTACCAGAGCACTGTGGTAACACACCGAAACCTAGAGATGCCGCGATACTTTCTTGCTCTTTAAAAAAACCATTCCTAAGTCTCCATCTACAATTAACAAGATGAGTTTATCCTTCTAGTAGGCAACTCTTAAGAGTTTCTCTACCAGAAAAGAAACATTTACAAACTCAGAAGGTAGAATAATAAAAATAATAATAATAATCTGAACTCTTTC